TTTGATAAGTATCCTTAACTTCTGAGTGGCTCAGGATCAAGCTCAGCCATGATGCTTTCAAGGATATACAATTTCTTTTCTGACTTGACTGATAATCCGAAGATTACGATACCAGCCTGAGACATTGGATCCATCCAACCTGTTTTTCTTCTCGAATATCGGTCGCAGTTTTCATAATGCTCATTTTGGTAATCTACAATGCAGAAAAGATAAATTCTTATAAAGTTTATTATTATTTAATATAGTCTTTATTAAACGATGCTCCCACTATTTTACTCAAGCCAATAGCCCTCACTATTAACTAGGAAAAGCCGTTGACTTCCTATGGACTATATCCCACCTCCGGCCCATTTCAACCTTCGCTTTGGCGAACAAGCCAAAATGAGTTGATTAGTAGTCCAACAACTAATCCACACCAGTTGATAGCTCTCCTATCAACCTCAATGTGAGAAAGCCAAAAGCCAATCACACAATCCAATGGCTCCAACCAGGTTGCTCAGTGTTATTCTCATTATCAGTAGAGTGGACACTACATGCCCCACGTACACCCAAATTGTTACTGCTCTACTATGTTTTATGACGCGTTTATCAACCTTCGCTTTGGCGAATACGCAAAACCGGCATTTTAAGTCGACCCATCATCATTAAGGCAAATTGCCAATGCATTTTACACCTCATAGAAGTGTACCCTTCGCTTTGGCGACAAGGTTTCGACAAACAGTGGTTTGATTAAAACTCATGATGATGGACGGCATACGTGACTTAAATATGACTTTATGATAGTTTTTATTTATTTTCTCATCAACTTATTATCTTTTTAAATTCCATTGTTTTGGCATGTTATAACCTACATTCTAAACATATATACATACGTGCGCGTACTGGCCCACTAAAACAACGACAATTTCCTCGAGCCTATAGGAGTTCGGGTCACGCTAGTGGTCCTGTAATAAACATCTTGAGTCTTCAAGATGGTGCCTTCGCTCTTTGCGCGGGGGGGGCGGGGGGCTCTGTCAAGTACTTACAAAAATTCATGTTAAATTTTACAGTAATAATATCCAAATTCTTTACATCAATAAATTTAGAAACCTCGATTTACATTCGATGGAAATGAAGAAAAGAAGAATGTACAATTGGAGAGGAGAACGAGGCAGACACGTCTGACCTTATTTAGAAATTACACACCCCTACATCCCCAAAACTTATTTTACAACATTTCACCCTTAGTCCTAAGGCTCATGTCCAGCACCATCATAGACAAATAAGTACAAAGCATACATTTCAAAAACAATCAATTTTTGAAATTTGTAGATCTACAATTTGGTCTAAAAGTTTTGAAACTTTATATTTTAGCCCCTACACACTCGGAAATGCGCTCGCTGCGGCGATGAGTTATATTGCCACGGCGTGCATTGGTTATGTTGACGTCCACGCTCTAAGGATGATCGCCGCGGCGAGCGCTATTTTCGTATAGGGCTCGTCCAAAGGACGATCACCGCGGTGAGCGCTAGTTTTGTCACTAGCGCCAGCGTGAACAACGCTCGCTGTGGCGATGGGTTATATCACCACGGCGAGCGTACACAGACCTGTAGCTCCAGATCTGTTCATACAGTAGCCATGTACACTCCAAACGGATTTTCAATCAATCATACACACCCATTTCAACCAAAAATCCATCACTAATATACCAAACTTGCAGATCATCAACAAATTAAATTAATCGATTAATAAATTTCTTAAAACATGCTTTTAAGGCATATTTTAGGCAGATTCTATAAGGCAAAATAATATCATCAAATACATGTTATCAACCATCCACATAAAAACTATAAAATTTGGTACCCTAGGCTCTGATACCACTATTAGGAAACGGTCCATATATGCAGCGGAAAAAAAAATCGTAATAACAAGGATCGTTCCCATTGAGCCAAGATCAAAGGTACAATTTGACAGTTTATGTTAAAATAAAAATCTGCAGAAATTAATCATGAGTTTAGAGAAACATATGCACGTTTGGAGGCTCCTCCAAATTTTTCAATGAACGTTTTTGCTACCGACCCAAGTGTAGGATCGAACCCACGTAGTCCACACGAAGACAATCATAAAAAATTAAGGAGGGATTTGCTAGATTCTCCTTAGCTTTAAGATTAAAGAAGAAAATCAAATAAATTGTTTTTGGGCAAGCATGAATTCTGCCATGGGAGAGAGTGTTTAAGGGGTTGTGTTTTTCCTTTTACAATGAATGAGTGAAAAATGAAATCCACCCATTTTACAATTAACCTTTTCTTTTATAGTTAAAAACTTAGTTGCCCTATTCCCATATGGAATAGGCTTGGGCTCCAACCCAAACACCCCATGTTACCAAAAAACCCCATTTAGATATTTATCTTTATTTCATCATTATCTCAATTAAAATCAACTAATATATATTTAATCTATATATTAACATTTAACAATAATGATGATTTAATTAAATATATGTGAGCACATATTTAAATGTAATTTCACTTATTTAATTTTTTCTAACAAATTAAATAAAAGGCTATGACCTCAGCAAATTTAATTGCACTGTGAANTAGTCATTTTCAAGTACTTAAGAATATTCTTGACAGCCATCCAGTGACGCTCACCTGGATCCGATTGATATCTATTACAAGTGCTCAAAGCACATGAGACATCAATCCGAGTACATAGCATGGCATACATGATGGATCCAATTGCTGATGCATATGGGATCCTCTTCATCCTATCTCTCTCATCTTGTGTTCTAGGACACATTTCATTAGATAGATAAACACCATGTGACATTGGAAGACATCCCTTCTTGGATTCTTCCATACTGAATCTTTTCAGTACTTTGTCAATATATGCACTCTGACTTACACCAAGCAACCTACACGATCTATCACGATAGATCTTTATTCCAGGGATGTAGGCTGCTTCCCCTAAGTCCTTCATGGAGAAGCACTTGGATAACCAAGTCTTTACCGACTACAAGTTCGGTATATCATTCCCGATCAGAAGTATGTCATCGACATGCAACATTAGGAATACTACTGCGCTCCCACTCACTTTCTTGTAACCACAGGGCTCATCTTCGTTTTTGATAAAACCGAATTCTTTTACGGCTTCATCAAAATGAATGTTCCAGCTCCTTGAAGCTTGCTTGAGTCCATATATGAATCTCTGCAACTTGTATACCTTATTAGCTTGACTATCAAGAATGAAACCATCAGGTTGTGTCATATACACATCCTCCTCAAGGTTTCAGTTCAGGAAAGCAGTTTTGACATCCATTTGTCAAATCTCATAGTCATGGTATGCTGCAATCGCAAGCATAATCCGGATGGATTTAATCATGGCAACCGGCGAAAAGGTTTCTTCATAGTCAATGCCATGAATTTGTTTGAAACCTTTGGCAACCAGTCGTGCGTTATAAGTATGCATGTTGCCATCCATGTCAGTCTTCTTCTTGAAGACCCATTTACACCATATGGGTTTTACCCCTTCAGGTGGTTCCACCAGAGACCACACTTGATTCTGGTACATGGAGTCCATCACAGATTTCATGGCTTCATGCCATTTAATGGAATCTGGATCCGATATAGCGTCTTCGTAGGTTCTGGGTTCATCGTCTTAGTAGACTAGTACGTCACCATGTTGAGTCACGAGATAACCGTATCTCTCGGGCACATGGCGTACTCTCCTAGATCTACGTAGCTCCTATGCTACCTGAGGTAGTTCACTTTATCCACAGGTTGTGGAGTAACCTCCTCTTGATGTTTAACCACTTCTTGTGGCACATCATCCCGTCCTTCGTCTAGTATGTCTTGTGGTTATAGAACTTCATCGATCACTACTTTTCTCCCACTAGTACTTCTTAGAAAATATTTCTTTTCTAGGAAGACACCAGATCAAGCAACAAAAATTTTGTGCTCTTCTGGGTGGTAGAAATAGTATCCTATGTTCGCTTTGGATTACCCCACAATCATACATATTTAGAGGATTTTTGGGTCCCGCTTGTTCGAGTCAATTTCTTAACATAAGCTTCACAACCCCACATCCTTAATAAGCAATTTGAGCTTTCGCCCACTCCATAGCTTCATATGATGTCTTATCTACAGACTTGATGGCACGCGGTTCAAAACGTGAGTCGTAGTCTCTAGGGCATAACCCCTAGAACGATGCAGTAAATCACTAAAACTCATCATGGAGCTAACCAGTCGTCAATATGGTCCTGTTCCCGCCTTTCAACACTCCATTGTGTGGGGTGTATAGGGGTGTGAGTTGTGATACTATCTCACAATTCCTTCAGGTACTCTGAAAACCCTAAGCTTAACGTATTCACCTCCTTGTCCGACCGAAGAACTTTAATACTTTTTGCCCAATACTATATGTACTTTCTTTTTTTTATTCCTTGAATATCAAAGGCCTTTACATTTATGTCGTCATAAGGTTAGACTAACCATATCTAATGAATCATTAGTAATGCGACGAACTAATGAATATCCCCTCTGGCCTTAACTTTATGGACCCATTACTCACTATGGATTGCCTACACTCAGTAGCCTTTTCGCCTTGTCCTGTGTAGGAGACTTGGTCCATCTGTGCCTAACAAGCATGACTCCATACCTCAAATGACTGCAAGTCACAAAGGGTCCAAAACTCTATCCCTTTGAGTTTTGCAATGCGGGTCTTGTATTCATGACACCAATCTACATGCCAGAGATATTCTGTTTTTGGTCGCTAGTGTTTAGCTTTCTTAGTTTCAATATTGAGAATATATATTGTTTAAATCAAGAACATCTAACCTAATAACCTTGCAATTCCCAAATAGAAATACCATTCAAACTGAGGAACAACATCCATTAGATATCTCAAAATGATACCCTATATTATCCAAAGCAGATACTGAAATAAGTATTCTAGAAATAGAAGGTACATGAATAACATTTATGTATTGTCCAATAAGAAGCCCGTAGCAACATAAACATAAGTTCCTACAGCCAATGCAGCCACATGTGCTCCATTTCCAACTCGTAAGTCCACCTCTCCCTGGCAGCACTCTCCTCTGCCTTAGTCCCTGCACATCATTACAAATGTGAGTACCACATCCTGTGTCAATGACCCAAGATGTTGAGGGAGAGAAATTAATCTCAATCATAAAAGTACCTGAGTCGTAGCATCTGACATCTTCTTGCTTGCGAGGAAAGCCTTGCAGTGTTTTCCTCCATAGCCAGGCTTGCCACAAAGAAGCAGACTACCTTGCCCTTCCCTATTCCACTTCAGGCCCAAAGCTACCTGTCCTTTGGGCTTGGGCTTGGGCTTGGGCTTGGGCTTGGTTTGGCCTTGGCCTTACCTTTGCCGTTATCCTTTGCTTTGTGGCAGCAACCAGTAAAATGGCTTGGACTTTTTCAAGTCCTGCTCTACAGTTCTCGCATGTTTTAGAAGTTCTAACAGGGTTTTCTTACATCGTGTTCATATTGAATTCATTCATGAACGGAGCATAAGAGTCAGGCAGGATTGCAGAATTAAATCCATTTGTAATTCTGCATCCAAGCCACATCCCAATCCTCAATCCTCCTAGTGCTCGATCATCTTGAGCACATGAGACCAACTGGGCTCCCTCATCAGACGACCCCCCAAACAGTGCTTTCGACACCTTTGTACCTCTCATGTCGAGCATTTGTTTTGTAAACTCCTTGAGAGTAGAATAATGGAAGAAGCATCCATATTCTCATGCTGCTTTTGCAGCATAGGTGTCATTGATGCTTAACATCAAGCATTGAACTCTATCAGCACATTAAGGAACTTTTGATAAGTATCCTTAACTTCCTGAGTGGCATCAGGATCAGCTCAGCCATGATTGGCTTTTCAAGGATATACAATTTCTTTTCTGACTTGACTATAATCCGAAGATTACGATACCACCTGAGAAGTTGGATCCATCCAACCTGTTTTCTTTCTCGAATATCGGTCGCAGTTTCATAATGCTCATTTGGGTAAATCTACAATTGCAGAAAAGATAAAGTTATTATAAGATTTTATTTATAATATAGTCTTTTATTAAACGATGCTCCCACTATTTTACTCAAGCCAATAGCCCTCACTATTAACTAGGAAAAGCCCGTTGACTTCCTAGTGGACTGAGATCCCATCCCGGCCCATTTCAAACCTTCGCTTTGGCGAACAGCCAAAATGATTGATTAGTAGGCCAACAAACTTATCCACACCAGTTGATAGCTCTCACTATCAACCTCAAATGTGAGAAAGCCCAACAAGCCAATCACACAATCCAATTGTCCAACATGTGCTCAGTGTGATTCTCTATCATAGATGGACACTACATGTCCACCACGTACACACAATTGTGACTGCTCTACTATGTTTTATGACGCGTTTATCAACCTTCGTTTGGCGAATAGCAAAACCGCATTTTTTAAGTCGACCCATCATCATTAAGGAAAATTCCAATGCATTTTAACCTCATAGAAGGTAACCCTTCGCTTTGCGAACAGGTTTCGACAACAGTGTTTGATTAAACCCATGATGATGAAGGCATACGTGACTTAATATACTTTAATTGATAGTTTTTTATTTAATGTCTCATCAATTATTTCTTTTGTTAGAATGACATGTTTTGGCATGTTATTAAACTGCATTCTAAACTTAATAAAATACGTGTCGGTACTGGCCCAACTAAACTAATTTCCTCGAGCCTAGAGGATGGTGGGTCACCTAGGGTCCTGTAATAAACATCTTGAGTCTTCAAATGGTTGCCTCCGCTCTTTGCTCCGTCTTCAAGTACATTAAAAAAATCATTTAAATTTACAGAAAATAATTAGACAAATTCTTTACATCAAAAATTTAGAAACCTCGATTTACATTCGATGGGAATGAGAATGAGAAGAGAATGTACATTGAGAAGAGGAGAAAGGCAGACACGTACCTTATTTAATAATTATACAACCATACATACCCAAAATTATTTTAAAACATTCACCCTTAGGTCCTAAGCTCATGTACCAGCACCATGCAATAACAATAAGTACAAAGCATACATTTCAAAACAATCAATTTTGAATTTGTAGATCTACATTTTGGTCTAAAGTTTTGAAAACTTTATATTTTAGCCCCTACACACTCGGAACTGCTCTCGCTGCGGCGATGAGTTATATTGCCAGGCGTGCATTGGTTTGTTGTTGACGTCCACGCTCTAAGATGATCGCCGCGGCGAGCGCTATTTTCGTATAGGCTCGCCCAAAGGACATCACCGCGGTGAGCGCTAGTTTTTGTCACTAGCGCCAGCGTGAACAACGCTCTCTGGGCGATGGTTTTTATATCACCACGGCGAGCGTACACAGACCTGTAGCTCAGATCTGTTCATACAGTAGCCATGTACACTCCAAACGGATTTTCAATCAATCATACACACCCATTTCAACCAAAATCCATCACTAATAACCAAACTTGCAGATCCATCAACAAATTAAATTAATCGATTAATAATTTCTTAAAAACTGCTTTTAAGGCATATTTTAGGCAGATTCTATAAGGCAAAATACTCATCCAAATACATGTTTATCAACCATCCCACATAAAACTATAAAATTTGTACCCTAGGCTCTGATACCACTATTAGGAAACGGTCCATATATGCAGCGTAAAAAAAATCGAAATACCAGGATCGTTCCCATTGAGCCAGATCAAAGGTACAATTTGACAGTTTATGTTAAAATAAAATCTGCAGAAATTAATCATGATTTTTTAGAGAAACTATGCAACGTTGTAGCTCCTCCAATTTTTTTCAATGAACGTTTTTTGCTACCGACCCAAGTGTGAATCGACCCACGTAGTTCCCACGAAGACAATCATAAAAAATTAGGAGGGATTTGCTAGATTCTCCTTACTTTAAGATTAAGAAGAAACATCAAAATTGTTTTTGGGCAAGCATGAATTCTGCCATGGGAAGAGTGTTTAAGGGTTGTGTTTTTTCCTTTTTACATGATGAGTGAAAAATGAAATCCACCCATTTTTACAATTAACCTTTCTTTTATAGTTAAAACTTCAGTGTGCCCTAGTCCCATATGGAATGCTTGGGCTCCAACCCAAACACCCCATGTTACCAAAAAACCCCTTTAGATATTTACTTTATTTCTCATTACTCAATTAAAATCAACTAATATATTTAATCTATATCATTCATTTAACAATAATGATTATTTAATTAAATTATTTGACCACATATTAATGTAATTTCACTATTTATTTTTTCTAACAAATTAATAAAAAGCTCTATGACCTCCAGCAAATTTAATTGCACTGTGAAATTGCCAAAAACACTTCCGCCCCAAAAAGACGAAAACGCCTTTCTTTCTTTCCTGATGTCTTAAATCATCTTCTATGTGTATGACCTATAGGCCTCTTCATAATACCGTGTAGTGTATAGTAATCGTGATTAACACCAATTAATCGTCTCCACTATACACAGACCAGTTGCCCCTAGCAAAGCATTATGGCCACCCATAATTCGGATTCAGCAAGTAGCTACTTGTCAACGAGCATGGTTACTGTACATTCGATCCTTTCATCATCCGTTATCTCTACGAGACAGGGCATAGAATAGTGTCAACCTTCGTTTACTCCTCGTATTATGTATTTAGTTTTCTGGACCAATGACCTGTATTTAATCTGGATAACAACAACTCAATCCACTGTGGCCACAGTTTTAGGGTCATTGCCCCATATACTGAATTTGCGCTGTGAATAACTTCTTCCATACCCGGGAGTGAGAATCCTCGTTTCATCCACCATAAGTCCTTGATACCCTCCTTGATGCAGCCATATCCACCGATTGCAACTCTGAAATAGAATTTGCGTTAGGCTAGTGCCAAACTGCACCAACGGTGCACAAGGCGCTCTAGTGATCTCAAGTCTAAGGATCACATGTACCACCATTCGTTAAGGATTTGGTCCATAGACATGTGGGTTACAAATCCATTTGGAATCCCAGGGGCCGTCCATTGAACTGTTTGTAGTGTTATTCGCCTACAGCAAGCCCCATGTTTGTACCAAGTTTGTCACCAAACACCTCGATAATGAGATCAGTCACTGCCTTTCGACATGGGTCGTTCAACACTATGATACCTAACCGTATTATCTGGGCCCTTACTTTAAATAATACTGGGTTGCAGACGTTTCTAAATGGCCACCATATGTGCTCATAGGGTTCTCACTATCAGGATTTGAACACTTGATACCCTCATCACGGTTCTATCATCTAAGGACATATATTAATACATATTGCAATAATAATGATTTACGGAATATAGAATAAATTGCATTTTTATTGATTAATGAACATTATTACAAAGAGTCAATTCTACAAATAATTGATTGCTCTAGGGCATCTACTCTAACACAAGCCGAATTGGCCTAATTAAACCTTAAATAAATAAAATACTAAAGAATATAATGATAATTAAACATAAAAAAAAAGCCCAAGATTAAATAAACGAAAATTAATTCATAAATTATCCTTACATCCACTTTGATCTTCCGAATCTACCCCTTGCATAAAAAGATAATAGCCATTGATGGAATGCAAATGTCATATTTACCCCCCTTATGTCTAGTCTTTTATACTTATTTGCTGCCTAAATATACTCATATTATCTATTTTGATTTAGGATGCAATGGAGGCGTTAATTGCAAAACGGAACTAATTAAGTGAATTCGGACAATTTCGATGTTTGTTTCGTAATCTGGGCATAACTCCCTCTCATCCGAGCTCTGATTTGAGATGATTCAAAATGCTGTGGACGATAAGAAGGATATCTACAACTTTCATGTTTCGAGTTTGGAGAGATACTCGCTGCATCAGGTTGTAATCGTGCTTAAAGTTGACATATCTGCCACTAGACGTCCTGGAATTCCTGCCTTGTCATGCAATCACTGGGCAATTTATTATGGAGGCATGGTGGCACGCAAGTTACAGCTTAGAATCACCATTTCCTATTTTGTATAAGACTTTATCTTATTCCAACTATTAGATTAGATAAATGTATATTTATGATCGGAGAA